TCTCTCTTTTTTCTCATCCTGCATACTCCTTTCTCTGAACTTGCAATTACACGGACGACGAGTAATCTGTGTCGAATGCCACAATGACAAATTCAGAGAGTATTCGGACAAGTCTGAAGTTGACTTAAAATCTGGAAAATCCGACTGCCTCGGGGGACTCGAGCGACGAGACACTTTCAATGGTTCCGATAAGTGTTGAAAATTTCAAGAGTCTCGAGATTCGACAGATTCTGCTCGTAATAATCGTAATAATTGCAAGCTGTTTTCAACAGCTGTTAACGAGTTGGATTACCTCCTCGACAGATTGGACTTTATTTCGGCGTGATGTGTCTAATTATTCGAGACGAAAGCGAGAGATATCGAAGGATCAAACGAAGCGTGAACGGGGGCGACGTGTTTCAAGGTGGCCAAACGAGAAAACCCGTTCCACTGAACGAACTCGCCGAGACCCGGAGACTGAAAAAGAGAAAGAGAAAAGGCAGGGAGAGGTGGGGGGACAATTTAAGAAAAACTACCTAGCGACCACCAGTGACTATAGCGAGACCATATTTCTATGCAAATGCGATCTTTGACGAGACTGGTGCGCCACCGGTGAGTTACACGAGGGAGAAGAACCAGACCTGGTGGTCTTTTCTTGCCACTCCGGCTCGGTCTGCGTATTTTTATAGCTTCCTGGCGAGCATTCCTTCGCGTACCGGTTCCAAAGAATCGAACGAACGGTCTCAGACGAGGTCTTTCGCGTCACACGCGCAGGAACAAACGGAGGAAGAAGAAGTAGAAGAAGAAGAAGAAGAAGAAGAAGAAGAAGAAGAAGAAGAAGATGTACGCGTCATGAACGAAGAATGATAAAAAAGGTGAGCGAGCGGTGGAAGGTCTGACCTTGTGCCCAAATGCCAGTTTTCTGTCGCTGCTCGATTGCCTCTCGTTTCTGCTTGGCGGAAAGGTTTCAGAGGGAGGAAGAAGAAGAAAGAGACAAAGTTGCATAAGCGTTAAATCGCGCTCGTTACACCGAACCGAGCCACGTAATCGTCTCGTATCTGGAGCAGAATAACAGCGAGGTTATGCGCTGCGCTATGGAGAGAAAAAAAAGAAAAAAAGAAGAGGAAGGTGAGGGAAGGGAGGCGAAACTGAACGTAGGACGCGATGTTTTATTGCAGTTTGTTAGATCGAGGTGGCCAGCGGTTGGTTCGATCGTGGTGCCAGTTGAGTTTCAAATTTTTTTGCTTTTGTACTTGTGTCTTTCGTTCTCTTTGAATTATCCTGATAATTGCGGACACAGTTTGTTGGATCAAACGTTAAATATTCGCTTGTTGCTCGAGCACATTTATATTTTACGACGTTTCGTGGTATCGTTTAGAAAATGACCACGGTTTCGAACATTGTCGGTAATAATTTACTATTAATATCGACAATTCGTGTTGTTGATGGAGAAAATGCACGAAGTATTAACGAGGAATCGAGATTTTGGGGAGGATTTCGGAAAGACTGTCGCCAAGAATCGACAATATATAGTGCAATTTAATTAGTGGTAATTAAATTCGTGTTGAAAGCAAGTGATGTCAATGACGAAGCTTTTGATGAACTACGTGCTATATAATATAATTATATAACAAGTAGATAAATAAATATATCGACATTTCTTCAAAATGGTGACAAGAGACGTCGTGGGAACAGAGAAACGAAAGTGGAGCGAGTCTCGTAACAGCGTCCCCAACTTTTCGTTAATTGAATCTTCCCTGATAGACACCATCCTCCTCACCCCACGTTAACTCTCCCCGGTGACTAATCGCGCGACAACGTCTTTCCAGGAATCTCGGCTGGATTTCACGCTCGCTGCTAAACCAAAGTTTAAGTTACCGCTCGTGTCGGCGTCGCCTCCTGGCGATAAAGATCGTTGCAGAAGAGGTGTGTTTCGTGCTGAGAGGTGCTACGCGATGCACGAAAACTAACGAAACTATCGGAGAGGGGTGCGTTCCGCAACCGCCGGCACGAATATCTTTCGCCCCGAGCTAATGAAGATCTCGCGTGACACAGGCGATACGATACGTAGCCAGCAATCCCGGGCTGGGATCTAGGACCTCGTGCGAACCGTCTATCCCGATCTCGAGAAAAATTATCCAAGGAAGGAACCACAGGGTGAATTCACGCGGTACACGAAAGCCACTTGCCGGAGCAGAAGGTTTTGTGGTAGACGCAGATTCGCCAATTGTGCGATCATTTTCTCGTACAATTCTGCCTTTTTTTTTTTTCTAAATTCACTCGTTATCTTGACAATTAGCTCGTGCATACAGAAGAATTATAATTCGTCGAGTTTTGGAGTTGGTCAGAAAGCTTGATCAAATTTTTCAAAAGAAACAATCACTTTCTGAATTAATTATATTTGGAAGTAAAATTATAATATTTGTACGACGTGCAATAATTATATCTCTCATTTCCAGGGAATTGTACGAAAAGATTTATTCCATCTAAGAAGAAAGTAGTAGGCCAAACTTCTGAATTAAAAATTCTTTTATGTATTTAATTTCGACAAATATTTTTACTATAAATTTTTACGACAAAACGTCATTATTCCGATGCATTTCAAAACAAGATAGATCAAGCAATTAACAATAAAATGTATTTCGAAAACTCCGAAAGAAATTCACATGTGTGGCTGTGATAAAACTATGGAAAACAAATTAAACATAGGATAAGCTATCGATATGAAACAAAGTCAGATATAATTACAAGTCGATTCTTTCGCTCTAAGATCAGATCAACTTTTGTGACCAAACGCGCGAGCTGAAAGATTCGAGTTGAAAGCTATTAGAACCTATCAGGCTACCTAGGCCAATTTACTCGAGCGACGATGGACGAGAAAAACGAGCGCGTAGGACGAACGACAACGATTTCCTCACTCTCGATAAAACGAAAATTTACGCGACAACGAGAATTCCAAGAGAACCAACATTCATTCTCACACGTCACGCATCGTCCGCAGTCTCGCGGGATTATTTGGTGCTTTCGCCGACATAAATAAACGGTGGCCGAAAGCGATCTGCGGTATGTACTCGGAGATTGGTTTATTTTCGTCGAGGAGCTATCAGGAACGAACTAACAAACGAACGGAGTGGCGCTGTTCAATACCAATGTCGCGGAAGAACGTGCGACCTCGGTAAGCTTCTCGTTTCTTCCTTCACGCGAGAGACGCTCGCTTTTTAGAACACGTGCCTACGCACAACAGAATTTAGGCAAATTATAACTCGGGAAGAAATGTCTTAAAATAGTTGAAGAGTTGTTTTGTTAAGTGAGTTCGGTGTATATATATATATATTATATTGCAGTCGATCGAGGACGGTGAGAATTGCATCGATCACAAGATTTGCAGAATATATTTTTCCACTTAAAAACGTCACTTTTGACGTCCTATATTTGTCAATCGTGGACGTAAAATTGGCAGTAGTAATGGAACGAATGTTCGTACGAACGTAGTTTCATATTCCGCGTGTAAATTTGGACATTTTTATGGAAATCCTTCTCCAAGGATCCAATTCGATATACGATATATGTGCGAAAAGTAACGTGTTCTCACTTCGTTGTGTATTCTGCTTCAAATCGATGCGATTTATCAAAATCTGATACAACAACAGAATAACAAACGATGAAAACTAAAATAAGAATAATAAAATTTCATCGCTAAGTGAAACCTACAAACACACACACACACACATACTCTCTATTTTTGAGTTGTAACACCGAGTACTATCACTCATAGTCGTATTTCCGATTTGAAAGAGACAGCTTTCAATTTCAATTCTTCAAACTGAAGCTTGACAAATACAACGCTTTCGACGAATTATTACAAATCATCGACGATATTCGAGAAGAAACTGTAGATCGAACCGTCATCACGAACGCGTTCGACTTCGATAGAGCAAAGTTCACCGACACTCTCGATCTGGGTTCGCTTTATTTATACCCGAAGGCGGAGGAATTTCGGTCGTTGGTCGCCGTCGGCGTCGACAGCGAAACCGGACCTCGAGAGAGAGAGAAAGAGAAAACGGGTTCGATCGGTAACGAGTTCACTATCGCGATCACCGTAACCGGAAGTTGGCAGCGTGTCGCAGCAGCTGCCGTCCCGGAAACGTAGAAAACGCGCCGCCGAGTCCCGTCCACCTTTTCCACCGGTCACAGTTTTTCGTCGCCTCTCTCTTCTTGCAGTCGGCAGTCACGCGAGAGAAAGAGCGAACAAAGAACGAGTCTCTCGAAAGGCCGAGGCGAGAGAACGACGCGCACCGCAGCTGCACTCCGAGAGACGTTTGCGCGCCCGCTCGTCCACGATGGCGTTTCGCGTTTCCTGACCGAGCGGAATGCACGCAAGGTGCAAAAACTGCTGAAACCGAGCCAAGCGAGTCGAAAAATTGTCCCCGTCACGGTGTCGTCGTCGTTCGTAACCCAGCGAATTCGAAAATTGTTTCCAACGAGTTCGCCGATTTATTGGAAGGTTGCGTACGAAAGTTTCAAGTTGGACGAGATACTTTAATGGCTTTAGAGGGTGGAACGTAGGCGTAGGATAAATGGCGGGGCGAAATTTAAACAGCGAAGTTCGATCGTCACGGCGCGGCGGAGAATTTTAACCGATTCGATTAGTGCACATTCTACTAGCAGAGTGTAGACTGAGGATGAAAGTCTCTCGATGGACTGCGAATGTTTTTTGCGTATTTGTAGAAAATTTTTGTACCTGTGACGTGACACAGTGTTTACAACGTATAATACCTTTTAACTGTGTATACCGGAAATACGAAGTTGCACAAAAATCCGCAGTTTGTAATATTCTCGAAATTTTCTCGAATTTTCATCGCTCGGACGTTTCAAAAATTTCTAAACTACCTTCGAAAATTTCACGTGCGACTAAACTCGTCAGAGATCAGCCGAGAAATGAAACGAAACGACACAATTTAAAAATCAAGTAAACCTCGCGCGTTGCAGTGACAATGAAACGAAAGAAATGAAAGACTCACCGAAGCATCCTCTCCCTTTCGACGATCTCCTCGGTGGTGGGTTGAGCGGGCCCGAGCAACGAGTGCGGCAGTGGTGGATACCTTTGCGACCTCCAAAGCATCTCGGACGCGACAGCGGGATGATGATGACCGGGCGGTGGTGGTGCAGGGTTTTGATAACCGACCGGCGGAGCAGTGGCAGCTGCCGCCGCTGAACTAGGTCCAGCGCTCGGAGGTGGTTGAGGATGCGCCATGAGTAACGAGGTATGCTGGACGCTCTGCACGTGCCAGACTCTAGCAGGCGTGGTGGCTGCCGTCGGCGTTGACGAGCTCGTGGTCTCGTCTATGCTCAGCGCGGAACTTCTGCTGCCGCTCCTCTCGTCGCCGGAGCCAGCGCTCCTCAAGGAGCTTACCCCGCTGTCGGAACCGCTGTCTCCATAGGCTGCATTCGCGGCACCGCTACCAGCCGCGGCGCCCACCGCTCGAATACCGACCGCTGCTGGCACACCAGCGAGCACTCCGCTTCCAGGTATTCCGGCCCCGGCCTCCACTTCCATGAGGCCGGCCTCATCGCCGCCCCTCGATGTGTGAGACTGCTGTTGCACCTCGAGGAGGCTAGACGAGGCCAACTGATGATGATGATGCTGCTGCTGCTGTTGCTGCTGCTGCGATTGTTGATGTTGTTGCTGCTGCTGTTGCTGCTGCTGCTGCTGATGATGATGATGCGGACTGCTGGCTACCTGATGCGGATGCGGTATTTGCTGCTGCTGCTGCTGTTGTTGTTGTTGCTGCTGCTGCTGTTGTTGCTGTTGCGACGGTTGTTGCGCGTGATGATGTATCACCGGACTACCGGACGAGTAACGTTGCTGCTGATGATGGTGCGACGGTGTGTGATGGTGATGCTGATGGTACTGCTGCAGGTGGTGATGATGGTGACCAGCTACCGGCGGTGGCGGCTTGTTCAGTCTCTCGGCTAGAATGACAGGACTCTCGTTGTGCCGGTTGCGCTCCTGCTCCCGTTGCTGCTCCAGGAGCAGGCTCTGCCTGCCAGAGCCGCCGCCGCCGCTGCCACTAAGCGGACTCAGCCTCTCCAGCACGGAGCCTGAGTCCTGACTGCTCGACTCCAGCAGCTCGACCACCGATTCGACACTGGCCGCCCTCACGCCACTCACGCTACCCACGCTATCCTCCGTGCCTAGCTCGGTAGTCAGCTCGGTTCTTCGCGAGCCTCGCTCCTCTTCCTCCTCTTCCTGCTCTTCCTGCTCTTCCTGCTTTTCCTGCTGTTCCTGCTGTTCCTCTTCCTCTGCCCGTGCACGTGCTTCCTCCCCTCCTCGGCCACCGCCGTTCTCCTCCTCCTCCCGATTCCCGTGGTCCTCGTCGTCCTCTTCCTCCTCGGGGACGCTCTTCTTGCTGTTACCCCTCGACGACGAGTCGGATTTCAGCAAGCCAGCCTTGGTGTCAACCAGCACGCTCGCCGCTTTGTCCACCACCGACAACGGCGACGAGTCGAGCACCGATCCATTCACCAACACCTGCGGCTGTTGCTCCTTACACCTCCTCTCTCTGGCGTCCGCTTTCGTGCGTTCGAATCTTTCCTCCGTTCGATCCGATCCGTTCGTCGACTGCCTTCGTTGAAGAAGAACCGTGTTGCCTCCAGGGTCTACTTTGTCCGGAGGTGGAGGCTCCGGTTCTCTGTCACGCTCCCTCGACTGACTCGCCTCGTTCTCTTCGAGCTTCTCGCTTCTCGCCCCTTCACCCTCCGCGCTCTTCTCCTTTCTATCTTCTTCCTCCTCTGTCCCCTCGATGTCCGATGCCGCCTCCTCGCCGAGTTTACCACCCTTTCGCTCGGACCTGAGCTTCCTGCCGATCGGATTTGTCCTGAGCCTCTTGATCAGCGGATCGCAACTATCCCGATCCTCGTTCTCCTCGCCGACAATTTCGTTCGCGCAGTCTTCCTGATCCGCTGGTCTTACTCCGCTCAACCGTTCCTCCTTTTCGTTTGTGGATTTTACGTCGACCACGTCCTCCTCCGCCTCGGTTTTCGCACCACCCTGGCAACCGAGTCTCGGCCTTCGTCGCACCGGTCGCTGCGACGCGCTCTCCACCGGACTTTTTACCGCGGTGCCACGTTTTCGCAATTTCGCAGCGCTGCTCGACGCGCTGTTCGCCTCCTCCAACACCGTTCGGGGGATGCGGTTGCTCGGCCTTCCGGACGGTGGCCCCTTGTTCTCGCGATCTTCCTGCCGCGTGGACAAGTTGCTCTCGCCGTCCTTGTCGCGACTCGCCCCCTCGCTCACGCGTCTTCTTCGACTGTTGCGCGCCGAGTTCTTCTCTGAAACAATAATTGAACGCTTGGTCAGTCGACTGCACCTTGGATGATGATCCTACTTCGTTCGTGTGACGTTAAGTTAACGTTCAGCTACGGTTACAATTATACTTGTCATTCTGTTAACTGAATCTCGTATCTCATAATTAAATCATTGGCGGTTTTGATCATTTCTCCTTTGACATAGTGACTTTAACCTCTTGCGCTGCAATGATTGTGCCACGCGCCACGTCGAGAATTTTTTGCTCCACGTTTCTCTCAGTTTCAAGTATACATTTAAACGTGAAACAAAAAAATTTCTATCCAGTGACAGTCGTGCCGACGTGTTCAAAAGAAAACGAAAGCGACGAATTATTGTACACACGGTATTCGGTCACTCGTTATGGTCCGCGCAGCCAGTTGCCAGCGCAAGGGGCTAAAAAACGGGAAGTGAGTTTAACGAAATGGCCGCAGTGCGACTCAAACTAACGTAATCGCAAGTGTGTTAAATATTTAGATATTTCCGCGTCGCGCGAACATCCAGAAATCAACCATTCGCGCTTCGCTTCACTCTCACGCATTTTCTAAACCATTCTCGCATCAAAACGAAGCATATTTTGATACGAAAATGGAACGTATAAATGCGTATAAATGTATAATGATAAATGAAAAGGTTAGTCACGAGTGAAACGAGACCCAGGCGCATTTTCAGTACATGTATTTTTTGTACATGCATTTATGCGAGCGACGAAATTTCCAACGAATGCATAACACGTTCTACACAATCTATTAATGAGAAATTACGTTGTCTACCCCTTTCCTTTCTCTCTCTTTCTCTCTCTCTCTCTCTCCGAGAGAGCTGCTCGCAATTCATGTCATCGAAGGTATAATCACAGTTATCGATCGCGAGTGGTCGTGTTTACGCGATAAGTGGAAGGTTGCTCGTACACCCTTGTTCATCCTTGCCGATTAAGGTCGATCGATTCGGCGTTGCATCACGTTTTAGCAATTACGGAGGAGACTCGCTAATCCGTCCGAGACGCGTGTACCGCGATTAATTCAACGGCCATTAACCTGTTGGCTGTGTGGCTCTGTTTTTAAAAGTGAGCAGGCATTTGGGTCGATGACGGAGTGAACTCGTCAAACACAGAATAGCTACATTAGGTATCTGTTCTTGTCGGAGCATTGACAGATCGAATTTGTAATTGATTTTCTTTTCTTTCACGCGTATTTCATTTTTCATAGTTTACTGTTTGGAAAATTATCGAAATAACTGCTGTAATTTAACGGTCAAGTTTCGTCGATGATATCGACGAATTGATATTGAAGCAAATAAACGATATTACTGACTATTCAAGGAAAAAATCGACTACGTATGATTTGCACAATATAATTTGCAATTTACAGTTGTAATTGACGCTACGATTGCATAATATAGCAGATAATTTAATAGAATCTATATAGTTCGGTAATTTGATAGTTCGTACAATTTAATAATTTCAATAATTCATACAATTGCATTTGTAAATTATAATCGAACGGACATCGTCCTGGTCTTTTAATTTTCATTTTGAACAACACAGTTTACAGGTTGAGGATTGAAACATTTCGCAAAAATATAAGAACTATAAAATATATATATCTGGAATGAAAGACGTTTTATCTACGTTTCAAATATTTACTCGTAAAAAATGCTTATCTTTACACACACGGATTCGTAATTTCGGTTCGAAATCTGCACTTGCAAGCTAAAACATTTTCATCTAGAAAATTTCTAAACTGATCGTTTGAACGAAATCGTTCACTTAAAAAAAAAAAAAAATACAAAAAGGGCGTCAGTCGATCATCTAGGAAGAGATCTACGTACGTATGTATTCAGAAAACGATCTACTAATTCGCTAAACAAACAATTCGCTATCTCAATCCCTTGTATCCACAACGCTTCGCAGCTTTCATCTCCTTGACCCCGATCGAGGATTCGCAGTATCCTCGACACTGTTCAAATCTTGCCAAATCCGAGGAATTGGCTCTTGGTCCGCCACCCTACGAACAAATCGTATGTTCGAATCTAACGAAAGGACGGAAACGATCACGAGATAGCGTCAGTGAGATGAAACACGATGTATATATATATATATATATATATATATATATATATATATATATATATATATATATATATATATATATATATATATATATATGTTTATAAGTATAATTCTGGACCGACTAGAATTTCGATACGACAAGAGTTGGCAAAAATGATTTGACAGTCACGCTCAATTGTTGAACATTAAATTACAGATTAGTTGAAAAAGAATTTAACCGATGACTAAAGTATAAAACCTCCATCAGAAACATTAATAATAAAAAAATGGGAAGATTCAAACTCTATGATGACTGAATAAATTGCACAAGCTTTCATTTTCGAAAAATCATTTAAACTGTTGAAAATACGTTATTCACATACAAATTTCTAACAAAAATTAGATTAGGTTCGGTCGTTTTTGACAAACTTTGATATAGTTCAACACTGTCGATTGAGGAAATCTCGCCTGAGAAAATTTGCAGCGAATCAGGCGAATGATGTTTAATTCTGAGCTTGATTGGGATCGTTTACAATTATTTCACACTCGTTGGTTGAAAACAAGGAAACTATTGACACACGAGTGTGTGTCAAGAAAAAATTTAATTGCACGCGACTAAGTTCGAGGAAAGAGGAAAATCCACACATGGACGAAAAGGAATGAAAAAAAAACTTGGTGGACAACGATACTACGATAATTTATGATTTAAAATTTCGAACGATCTGCTTCTCGATGGCAGATCAACAATTCAACGTCAGCGGGATCGTGCGAGTGAAAGAGCGAATTCAATTCATTTTCTGCCCTCTCTCGCGTGAGACAATCACTTCTCACTTACGGACGCTTCGATGATTTCACGAATTCACGCGAGAGATGGAAAGTCAATATAAATAATTAATTTAACTCCGCGAGCACTTTCAGCCGAGATAACAACTTTCGAACGTGCGATATTGACCCAATTTTTCGCAAAGCGTGTCGATGACTCGTGAAATTCTGCTCCGCGCGGAGAACAGGAGAGGAAGAGAAGGAGGAAACAGAGAGAGAAAGAGGGGGGCAGGGAGAGCTCGAAGGGAGGAGACAGGGCAGAGGGATTTATTACCAAGGATTTACTGTTATTACCCGGAGGGGGAGAGGAGCACTCGAGCGGGCAACGGCGTTGCATACGTGGGGTGCGTTTATCCGATGCGCAGACCTCTATGTACCGAGAATACATGGGGACACGCGTGTGCATGTAACGTTGGATGGCTGCATTCGCAAACTCGACGTTCCGCGTCTCCTAGCGACTGCGGTTTGTCCTCCTGTCGAGGTCCGCCGGCATTACGCTCTGCGTAATTGAACAGCGCCCGAACGTACTTTGGCTTTACATTTTAACTCACCTCCTCTCTCTCTCTTTCTCTCTGTCTTTTTTTTTCTCCGTTTCGCAAACTATTATTCTCAGAACACGAGGGCGAAACGCTGGCCAGACGGGCAACAAACTTTCGACGATCATTGTTTTTTACCACTCGCGCTGGCAACTGATTGCGGACCATAACGAGCGACCAAACCCGTATATACAACAATTCGTCGGTAGGACGATCACTGGATAGAAATTATTGAGACGTAATGAATTTAATATTTGTTCTGCCTTGTTTTGTTTCACTTAAATATACTTGAAACTGAGGAAGCGTTGCAATTTGGGGGACAAAATGTTCTCGACGTGCGTGGGCATGTCATTCCAACGCAAGAGGTTAACGAGAACGAGTCGAAAAATGATTGGAGCGATTTTATGCTTCGTGATTCATGCTTCGAAATCATACTGCGAGTCTTTTCTGGTTTATCTCTGGATCTACTATAGATATTCCAAACGTGACGAAAGAACTTGCGACAAAAATACGGAATCTCGTAGAAAGCGGAATCGAGATGAGATGATTCACACATTCGTTTGGTTAAGAGAGTCACTAGAATAGATATACTTGAGCAAGCTGTCAAATATATTGTGCGTTGTGCTGACTGAAATGTGACGCTGGATTTTTATTTGCGAGATACAACAGTTTTTAATTATTTTGATATGTCCTTTCTGGCAGTTGTATTTCACAATTTCATTCTTCGAGAATTTATTATATATTCTATAACAAAGTATTCTATAACTGCGAGTTTATTTTATTTTATACAGTAGATCTCATAACATTATAAAAAATTTTATAATACTTAGATCTTAATAGATCTATAACTCGTTTTCAAGAGAATATCGAACTCACAAGTGACAAATCTTTCCTTGAGATCTCCAGTCGTGATTCAGAGACCCTTGCCCATCAAATTCACACAATACAAATGCGATTGAACGTCTGGCGAAAGGACGAGGCGTTGAAAACCGTGAAAATTCGGCGTCGATTTCAAGTTTCCGATCGATCAGCGACGCAGAGTTCAAACGCACGCCTTGTTTGCGCCCGTTTCGACGCGCTTTAAACCAGGTCACCGGAATTCGACGCGACCTCAAAGCGAGACCCGAAACCCGTAATTTCTAATCGAATACGCGATACGCTCTACGCGAGACTGATATTTGCTGTGATTCCAACGGGAGGTTTCCACGTTCCAAACTGAATCTGTTTGCGCCGGTTTGCATTTGGAATTTGCTCATTGGTGTCTAGGATATCTCCCTGGGAGATAGACGAACGATTGAAATGAATCTCATTCTGCCCAGAATTGGAATATCGTTGAAGAAATCGCAGATAATCTAACAAGAATCAGGCGTCAAAATTCAGAAGTCGAGCGTACTACGTTCGAAAACAAAACTGCGAACATCCGACGATATTTCGTCCATAAATGCGAAGAAAATGACCGGGCGATTGAATCACCCAAAACACTGACGACCATTTCGCGGTTAATTCGAACGTATGATAACAGAGAAAAATAAAACGAACGCGGAAGCAGCGAATTTTCAGCTGAAAGCGAGAGAAATTTCAG